CTTCCATTTGCTTTAGCTATTCTCCGCTCAAGGGCAAGGTTCAGAGTCTCTTCTGTCATCCACTTTGGTCTTCTCTTCTTTTCTTGTCTTTTTAGTAATCTCTTGCTTTCTTCATGGATAATGTTCTTGATATCTTCCAATAATTCATCTGGCTTTCGGTCATTCCACCCTTTAGCTCCCCAAAATTCATATCCTTTGCCACATGTAAAACACATTCATCGCTCACACCATCCCCAAAGTCTTAAATCAACTCACTCCAAGTCCAAGATCTCATCTTCTGAATCATCTGAATCAAATACGATTGAGATTAAGTGTATTTCATCCTGGTACAAAATTCCTCTTCATTTGTGAACATGTGAAATCTAGACTATAAGCTTCCAAATTGTATTGATAGAACCGGCACAAGATAGACATTCCTAGTAAAATGGGAGAAATTGGAGGGAAAGGGCTGACATGCACTAAGCAAGTCTAAAACCTAGCAGAACAAATTGCATTAGCTCTTAAGGTTTGAAAATAATCCTCTGCTCTCTGAGACTGTCTGGGCAATGGCCCCACCCTCCAGACTCTGGGTGTTTGCCACCTTCTGGATTCTGGGTGGAGGCTTGGGCTTTAGCTTTGCCTTTCAGGCCCTTTGAGATGACAACTTTGCTCCCTCAGCTTTAGGTGGTCCTATTCTCCTAGCCCATCTGAGTGGCGACCCCACTTCCTCAGCTCTGGATGGTGACCCCATCCCACTGGCACACCTTAAGGGCAACACCACACTCCTGAACTGAATTGGCAAAGATCTGACTCTCTGAAACCTAGGAGGCTGTGGCCCCACCCTTTAAGATCTAGGAGAAGACCATGCCTTAACTGTTGAAACTGAGAAAGCTCTGCTTCCTTATACTCCTTCCAACAGTTCTGCTGTCTCCAAGCAGCTCTTTTCTTGGAGGACAAAAGATGCAATTCCTTTGGCCTTTGTCCTACCTTTAGGATTCTAAGAGGCAGACAGCATTCTTTCCTTCCCTTCTTTCTCTTTCCCCTTCACTCTAAGCTGATAGGTTTTCTACTGTGGTAGTTGGTTAGATCCATCAGTCTCAGGCTTAATCTCTAACAAAGTTTGATGTACCATGTCCTCAGTGAAAATTATGTTCTACAGTAGAATTTTCTAAATCTTTTTTTTTTTTTTCATTTTGCACAGTCCATTTTTAAGTCCATCTCTTTCCTCTCACATTTTATTATAAGCAACAAGGAGAATATAAGTGACTCCCTTAAGATCTTGCTTAGAAATCTCTGCCATCAACTATCCAAGTTCATCCCTTGCAAGTTTTCCCTTCCACCAAATATTTGAACATAATTCAGACAAGTTCTTTCCAATCACGTGTTCATCATTTTCTTTTAAAGCCTCACCAGAAGCACATTTAAGATCCATATTTCTAGCAACATTTCTGATTCTGGTGCCATATATATTCTCTAGGAAGATAGAGACTTTTTTTTTTTTTAAGCTCTCCTCTCTTCCTTCTGAGTCCTCACCAGAATTGCCTTTCACATCCATAATTCTGCCAACAGTCTTTTCAAGGCAATCTAGGCTTTTACTTAATATTAGGCACCTTAAAACTCTTCCAGCTTCCACTCATTACCCAATTCCAAAACCACTTCCACATTGTAGATGTTTATTAGAGCAGCAACCCCACTCCTAGTACTAAATTCTGTCTTAGCTATCTAGTGCTTCTATAACAGAACTACCATAAGAGTAGATGGCTTTAACAGACAGAAATTTATTTACTCCCCGTTAGGAGGCTAGAAGTCCAAACTCAGGGTGCCAGCTGTAGCAAAAGGCTTTCTCTCTCTCTTGGCTCTGGAGGAAGGTTCTTATCTCTTCTGAGCTTCTGCTCATGGGCATTCTTCATGTAGCTTGGCACCTCTCTTCTCCCATCTCTGCTTCTCTCGATTGCTTGTTTAATCTCTTTTATATCTCAAAAGAGATTCACTCAAGATACACCCTACACTATTCCTGCCTCCTTAACATAGCAAAGACAACCCATTCCCAGATGAGACTATAACCACAGGCAATGAGTGTAGAATTTACAGAACATATGTTGGGAGAACACAATTCAGTCCATAAAACTGAGTATCCCTGGTATAGATTTCTTCATATTTTTATCCTCTCTTGGTATTATGATGTGTCTTCATGCTTTGATGAAATCTTACTTAAGGAAAGGCCATTTTATCAGGAACTGGGATAAATCCAGGATTTTGGAAAAAAAAAAAAAAGATACTCCAAATATTTGTAAAAATTCTATATTCACAATTGAGAAGATTGTGAAAGATGCTTTGTTTCTAGAGAATAAGCATTTGAACACTACATGAAAAGAGAATTAAGTTTGTTTTTAAAATAAATAATTGTATAAGGCAGCATGGGCTTTATTTATGGTAAGGAAAAATTATTAATCATGGTTTGATTTTTTGACAGACATTTCCTGCTTCCAGCTGAATGACTCCTCTTACGACAGCTTAGAAAATGAGCTCAATGAAGATGTTGATGCTCCATGTAGTGACTTGGTAAAGAAACTTGGTCAGGGCAGCAGAAGCATGGATTCTGTCTTAACCCTCAGTGACTATGACCTAGACCAGCCTGAAGTGGAAGGCCTTTTAACCCTGAGTGACTTTGACTTAGACCATTCTAAAGATGAAGACATTCAAATAAAACGGCCACTTGAATCCAAACCAGTGAGCATTTCAACGGTATACACGAAGGTCCCACTGCGGGATCATGCTCAGGCCCCCTCCAGTGTGTGCACACCCACCTACCTGTCCACTGCTGCAGCAGTTGCTCCTAAGAGTCTGAGGCGACACCGGCGCTGCTCGGAGCCCAGCATTGACTATGTGGACTCAAAGCTTTCCTATCTCAGGGAGTTTTATCAGAAAAAGCTACGCAAGTCCAGCTGTGATGCAATTCTTTCTCAAAAAGATGAGGACTATATAAAACAGACTCAGCCCCTCCATGAAGAGGGTAAAGAATGTTTTAAGCAGAGTTTAGTCACAGGCACTGATATCAGCAAGAAAAATGCCACTAATCAAAATGTTAAGAAGAAAACCATGTCTAGTAATGAAGGAAATCATGTGAAACTCTTCCCTAAATCCAAGCCAGTGGCCATTTCTGTGGCCTCTTACACTGGCATGTCTTCACAGGATCATTGCAAGAATCAGCCCCTAAATGCAGATGCACCTGGTTACTCCCCACCACACACAGCAGATGGTCTCAAAAGTTCAAGGATGCACCGGCGCTGCTCAGAACCCAACATAGATGACCAGCACTGCAAGCTGACCTATCTCAGAGGGATTTATTCAAAGAAACATCATAAAACCAGCTGTGAAGCTGGTCCCTTGCATGGAGAAGAAGATTATCTCAAACGGCACAAGTCTTTGCAAATGGAAGGGCAAAAACTTATTAATCAGAGTTTGGTCATGGGGATTGAGGTAGGCAAGAGTAGTGCCATAAACCAGAACACTGAGAAGGTTTTACCCCCGAGATTAAACATTTGCCCAAGGACTAGTTATTCCAGCTTATCCTCCCCAGGCACTTCCCCTTCTGGCTCATCAGTGAGCTCCCAGGACAGTGCTTTTTCTCAGATTTCTGAACACTCCGTGTTTACACCCACTGAAACCTCCTCTCCAATCGATTGCACTTTTCAGGCTCAGCGAAAACAGGGAGAGCTTTCTTCTGACTGTAGCAGTTCCAGCTTTGTTTCTGTAACGCCCAGTTCCTCATCAGGGCAGGCCAGTAGCCGCCTGACTCATTCCAAAAAGGACACTCTAGAGTGGCATTCACAAATGCATTCTGTTACTCTTCACCCTAGCACATGGTTGAGAAACGGTGTGGCCAGTTTGAAAAACTGGTCCCTCAAAAAGAAGGCAAGGGCATCTCGACCAGAGGAAAAGAAAGGTTCTCTGAAAGGACCCATGGAGCCACCTCCATACTCTTCTGGTTTTCCAGAAGCCAGTTTACTGCAAGAGGGACAGAAAGATATGCCCATGAGGGCAACTGAAGAACTTGGAACTGGCCAAGTAACCCAATGGTGTGCTTCTTACCCCTGCCAGGACTCAGAAAAACACTGTAGCTCTCCATTCAGCCTCATGGAAGAAAGACTGAAGTTCTGTAAGAAATGGCACTCACACAAGGAAGTAGAGGGTGGTGCTCAGTGCTCTCCTGGTGCTCTCCCTTGTGAAGGGTCCTCACCCAGCTCTTTGACTGTGGACGATGATGTGCGCAGCTCAGATGCAGGGCCTGCACTAGTTTGTGATGATGCAGACACACATTTCACCAAAGACATTTAGCCATAATAAGAATCTGAAGTTTCCAGGAACAGGAGCTGGGCTAATTAGAACATCGAGACAGTAATTATTATGACCCCTTTGTATAAGATACCTGGGTTAGGTAGCATAAGGATAATCATTGCTAATACCTAGGACAACAAAAGGATTGATTCTCTTTATGTGAGACTACTTGGCAAAAAGTTTATTCCCCAAAATTTGGTCACTTACTTGTTTGGGAGACTTTTCCTTATTAGAGTATGGGCTTGGTCCTATCGTATATCTGTAGAGATACTAACAGAGGGCTAGAGACAGCAGTTTTCTGTTGAGGAAATATGCCTTATGGGAACATTCTCTGAGATTAGTTACCTGAAAAGACCAAGATAATCATAAATTAAGGGATAGAGAAAAGTGGGGAAGGTGCAAAAAAAAGTCATCTACAATCCATGGAGTGTTTTTAATACGTAGGCAAGAAAAATGCCACAAATGAAAGGATTAAGAAGAAAAGCTTGTCCAGTAATGAAGGAAATCATGTGAAACTTTTCTCTATATGCAAGCCAATGGCCATTTCTATGCCATCTTACAACAGCATGTCCTAGTAGGATCATTCCAGAAACCAGCCCGCGGATGCCATTAGGCTGGAGAAAAGTAGATTCAAGAACCTGGACACCATGATACTGTTTTTTGCTGGTTATGTTGCTTGATTTGTTTTTCCATTAGAGTGTTACATTGCTCTGCAAAGTCTCCAAGAAACAGCTGTCCACAGAAAGAAGAAACTGGTTGCTCGTTTCAGTCTCCTTTCCAGAGGTTCTGTGCTGGCAGCAGTCTCTAGAAAGACACCTTTTGTATTTAAAATTGACCTCCTGACAGTTATCTGGATGCTTTTACCAACATTTAACCCAAGAACAAGTGTGGTTCTTTTTGGCTGAAGTGTTTCTCTGCAGCTCTGACTCTCATATTACAGTCAGCTCAGAAAAAATTATTTATAAATCACCTATTTCTAATTGCTGTAGTTTGGCAGTTGAAAGAGCCATTTAGAGATCAGCAGGTTATAAGCAGTCACAGAATACAATACCCACTAAAGTAGCTGCCAGGCCTTCTCAAATAGGCATTGGCTTTGGGTTTTCTTAGCTCCACAGTTTTGTCCCAAATAATTCATGCCTTATGGATGGTTTGCACCCATTGATTTATTTCATAACCATAGACACTTCTTCTTCTTGCCTTAATGGTGCCACTGACACATCTCACTAGGGATGGATTACTAGAGCTTACCAACCAACGTGAAAGGATAGCACCAGCAGTGGGTTTGAGTCTTCCTTCATTATAATAACTGCTTACTTATAAAAAGTTGCTTACAGCTCATTTATTTGATCTCTCTACCACCAGACTCTACCATCAGATTAACACTTTGCCTACAAACTAGCTTATTCTAAATTATTTTTCTTATCACTCCCTAACAAACTGTTATTTCCAATGTTCTTTCCCTATTGCCCTAAAGATTGAATTTTTCAGTGACAGAAAAAAAAAATGTTTTCTCTAAGATGAAGAAATATTTTCAGTATTAGCTATAGGTGCTACCTACCTCTTGGAGACATGCCCTGTTTGCCGTAAGTACTATAATTAACTTTTAGAACTCTGTGTCCAAAGAGCTCCTTCATGACACTGGCCATCTCAGTCACAGATGTGAAGTAGATTTCACATTATAACTAAGCACTCTTATAGTAAGACTCCTAAGTGTCTGTGTGCATTTTTTTGTGGTATAATGTATAAAGTCAACAGGGACTCCCCTTACCCTTAGGGCATACTACTGTCAGAACTGCAAGATGTGAATGAAGCTCTTAGGGCTTGGAGTGTCTTTATGGAAGAAATTACTCTACTTGCCAAAATAATAGTTCTAGTCTTTTTACTTTCATATTAGTGGGTAGAAAATCATCCACCCAATTTGAAGCGTAGAAGAAAATAGATGCTGAGTTTTTCAATAACCATTCCTACTCTCTCTGTTCCTTTAGATACTCCTGTAATACTTAAATGTGAATAGTTTGTTAATATTGCTGTAAAGTATTGTATAATTTGGAAACAAACTACATGTCATTTTAATATACTCTCAACCTATAATATATTAGACTGATGCTTTATCTAAAATGCTTTGAGTTTGTATAATATATCTTGACAAATTTTACTACCATATGTTATGTAATAAATGTGTATTTTTGTACTTGCAGAAACTGCTGCTAACTTTTAAAGTTTTTTTTTTTTGGTTTTAAAGGCACTGATAATGGATATGTATGATGTCCATGCTGTCTATTAAATAAAATACCATTCTGCAGAGTTAATCCCTAGAACAATATTGCCCTTTGTTGAATTGTGTTAGTTGTGGAGCCCAATTTCTTCTAACTATTGGGAATTTCACCGAAGGGAATTAATGCTGAATTGGCACTTTGAGTTTTTAGTCCTAAACCATGGTCATTCTTTGTTAAAGATTATTTTTTTTCTTTTATATTTTCCAAATATATCATGTTTTAGACATAAAATATTATGCTTCTGAAATCAGACATAATTCTTATATCAAAAGTGCCATCAGGTAAGTTTAATCAATTGAATGAGATTTCTTATGGAAGTTTGGACCATTCTGACCAGAGTACCTGTTGACTTCAGATGTAACAAAGACTTTTAAGGTGATAAAAATTTATTAAATAGTACTAGTTTTTCATGACTGCTGCATCTTTGCCTTCTCGAAGTTCATTGAGGTTTCCTCTGTGTAAGGTTAGCTACCATTTCTAAGATACTCAAAAGATATGTACTTAGTGCAGAAAAAATGATTTGCTCTAAGTGGGTGGTGAAGACAACAATTCCACTGTTAGAAATTTCATTGATTTTTAGGAAATTTGGACAGTGTACATACTGTTAATTTCTTCCTAAATTTTACAGCAGTACAAAGATAACTTTGCTTTTAAAAAATCTTAACCTACTGAAAACATTAGATTTAAGAAATCATCTCACTTTGTGTTGTGTTGTGTTTTGTTTTTCCTTTTTGTGGCATGTCTTTGCATTGAAAAGATCTAATGGCTCTGGTGGTATATTTTGTCTGTTGAAGAATACAGCAGACTCCTTGAACTTTAGCTCTGCATAATATCAGATATGTGGTAGCATTTGCAGAAGGCTCTGGGTGTAATTTTGAGACTTTTATTTTGAAGTCCCAAAGAAATAGACACAGAGGATGGTCTTCAATGTATACTCTCCCTTCATTTGGACAGTCTATGAGTTTTCATCCTATAGCCACAGGGCACCACGTACATTTTCAAATAGTTCAAAATGTCTTTCTAGGGTATTTAATTTAGTCAAAGTAAATATGTTTTCTGTAGTTTCATTTTACATGATAGTGTAAGATGGAGGTTTTGGAGACATTAAAATTGAAATGCTCTTTTTTTTTTTTTTTTTTAAATCTAAGATTGACTTTGTTGTTGTTATGTGCTGTCGAGTTGAACCCGACTCATAGCGACCCCTCCTTGGGTTTCTGAGGCAGTATCACTATGAAGTAGATTGCCCAACCTTCCTTCCAAGGAGTGGCTGGTGGGTTTGAACTGCCAGCCTTCTGGTTAGCAGTCAAGTGCCTTAGACACTACTTCAGATTCTAGTAATTTGAAATTAATTGTAGAATTTGTCCCTGCAGCCTCTTGATCTGCTGTGAAGAATGAATAAATTGGCTGTACTTGTGAGGTAGGCCCATTTCTCTGGACAGGTGAGATGGGTGCCATAAAGTAATAGTCCTTCTATGCCAGGTCACAGTAATTCTGATTGTTACTGCCTCAGATTTTTAGTAGGAAAAGAAATGTTTTATACCTTTACCCAAGAATGGGATCACCAAGAAGCAAAGAATCATCAAAATGTGTGAACATAGAGAAACTGATACTTGATGATGGCACTTGGGTAAAGGAGAAATGCCTTAGATAAGCTCAAGCAAGAAACTGAATCACCACCACCATGTTCAAGGAAAATGGAAAGATATGGTGGGGATGGTAGAAGTGCTACCAACGATATAAATCCTTTTCAGACAGTCAGGTACTTGTCTAGATCCTAGGGATATAAAGTGAAAAAGATTATTTCTATCCTTAGTGACTCTAAACAACCAAGGGAATGATTGGGAATATATTTTAAAAGGGGAATAGTAGCATTTACTGTGTTTCTGTATGCATGCTGATAAATGCATTTCATATATTATTTCATTTGATGCTCACCTCATTCCGACCCCAGGCTCTTTTTCTTTGCTCTTTTATCTTAAAATAAGGATAATAATAATGACTCTTCCCCAATAAAGCAGGCAAAAGTTATGTACATGGTTATGTCTAGGCTGGATATCTCTAATTTAAGAGAAATGTTCAGCATAAGAAAAATTCAGAAGGCTATGACAACATAAAAAGAAATGGGCTGTCTTTTAAGAGAATAGCATAGACTCTGCTTTTGCTGTTAATTGCAACTATAAACCCTAAATATAAAGCAAAAGACAAAAGAGTAGAGGAAAGCAAAGTGGTTAGGACCCCAGGACTAAAGGAAAAACTGCAATGTCCTGTGTCCCCTTTCCCAACAGAAGAAGGCAGTTAAGCAGGCTTATTCCTACCCCGCTTCAAACCGGAGACCCTCAGATAACACCGGGTGAGTCCCAGCACTACCAGCAAGACAGGTAGATTGAGCCCCACTAACAAGGGAGGCATACTCTTTTCCTGCCAGTCCTGACACCTCCCCTTCACTGAGAGATACGTGAGTATCCTGGCAGCAACAGCAAGAGGACACAAGAAAACAAACAGCTCAGACTGAAAAGTTCCACATTGACACAGATTAGTGCAGGTACCGGGAGATCACCACGGCCAAACATGTTTAAAAACTAGAGAAAGATTCTCTTCATTCGATATGAATAAAGGGACTCCTTTATTCAAGGTCAAGGCATATAAAGATTGGCCTCTGAGACACTCTACAGCTCTCTAATATCTAGAAGAAAACATTCTTACTGTCACATTTGTTGTGCTTTT